TCAGCTTAATATCAGCCATCAGCCACCCCGCTGTCTTAAGATATCGGTATCGGCCATAAATCGACTATTAATTAAAACCATGGAAAATGTCGACTAAAATTATACTTACCAAAGGAACCTTCTTCATCAACAAATGTGTGAGACTTCAAAACACGCCTCCTTTTCCTCCTCTTCACCTCTGAGATCTCCTGAGCGAGTCAAGAACATAATCAATGACAATATTACTGTATGGAAAATACAAATGAGATATGTGTGTAATTTAATGTGACTTGTATGTTGGATTGAGTAGCCTGGCATTTTGGCAGGTCGAGTTTGGGGTCGGAGTGTTTGGAAATCCTGTTTCTAAAAAAGCTTGTAATTATTGGTGTTGTTGGTAATGCTTACTTCTTGGTGTGAAACAGGTTCTCTCTTCACTTGTTTTTTAGGGCTGGGAGTCTGTACATTTGGAACAGGTGGAGAATCTGGCACAACTGGAAGAGGGTAGAAGAGACATATATCATGTATAAAAGTCTATGTATTTATATATAGACAGAGAGAAGGAAAAGAGAGAGAATAAGGGAAGAAACACAATGAATGTTATCAATTAGCTTTTGTTTGTCAGAGAGCAATTCTGATATTTTATTCAGCACTCTGCCCAGAGGGGGAACCTATTTCTTTGTTTTTCTTCATCTTGAGTCTCAAAGCGCCTCATCTGGACTGATTCAAATCTGCCAAGCATGACGTGAGCCTGTTTAATTCCAGTTTTAGTTTTTTTTTCCTATCTCTTTCCTACCCTCATCATCACTGCTGTCTGGCTGCGGCTTCTTTATCCGCCGTCTCTTCTTCTGCTGGCTCTCCATTTTCTCATCGTCATTGTCCACAACCTCAGGACGCTTTGTTTTACTTGTAGGAAGCAAACGTAGCTTTTAGCTCACATTTATGACGACAAATATAGCATGTCACAAAACCACACTTAAAGGGGTCATAGGATGCCCATTTTCCACAAGTTGATATGATTCTTTGGGGTCTTAATGAAAAGTCTGTAACATAGTTTGGTTAAAATTTCTCAATGGTAGTGTAAAAAACACATTTTTTACCCTGTCAAAAACAGCTCTTTTCAGATCAAGCCGTTTTTGTAGCATTTTCCTTTAAATGTTAATGAGCTCTGCTGATCCCGCCCCTTTCTTCCGAGCTGCTCTCAGAGAGACTGTTTACTTTAGCCGCATTCATCGTGAAACTTGCTAATTAGCACATTATTAGGAAAGGCGATTTGCAAAGATTCATTACAAAACATTATACTCACTTCTTAGATAAGACTTCTAGATCATGAATGATTCACGCGAACATAGACGCATTTATGTAGATCGGGGGCGCATTCCCTTCAGAAACAAATGCAATCCACTGCGAGTTCAGCGGCTCAGATATCGGGAGTAAATGACGACTGCTATGTTCATTATTACATCCAACAACAGAACACCTCAATCGCTTGTTAGGAGTTCATTCTTGTCTACATCTGCTCCGGCGGTGAAACAATGGCGGACTGATGACAGCTCACTCAGGG